TGTCGGTGAGATTGACATTTGGAGGGCCCAGCGAAATAAAGCCCCCAACCCAAATTCAGAAGCCAGACCCTTTCACTCCAGTCCTCAGGGACTGGATACCTACTCCCTAGGGAGTATACACCTTAAGAGACATTCCAAGATCCAGGGGCATGTCTGCAGTTCAGTAGACTGCCTGAGTAACAGCTACATGAAAAGAAGCCAGCAAGTGCCTACCTACGTGAATACAGCTTGTTTTAATTAGTTTGGCCATGATTTGGGTCAGTGGTCTTTCTTCTTGTATCTGTGGGATTAACAGCTTCTGCTTCTTCCAGGCAGCAGGACTGGTCCTGAAGTCTTCTTTGCAGCTTTCCTCCTCTGAGGAGTTTCCCTTGCAGCTCAGCTTCTTCCGGCTAAGAGGCACTCACAGATTTTATAGTTTATTCTGGCAGGGAGAGGGACCTAGTGAATCTGGTCAATTTCAGGGACTTCCTGGAGATATTCTGAGTTGTTTACCTTCTTGCTTAAGGAACTCCCGGTAGGACAGAGTGTTTCAGTCTAGGAGGAAACTGTTACACAGCAAGGGTCTATGCCCAACGTGGTGAGGGTTACAGCTACACACCACATAGATGGGTGAGCAGACAGACAGATGGATGTGCTTTTGACCTGGAAAAGCAGGGAGAAACGGGGAAAGGGGGTCAGGGCCTACGGAGACCCAGGATGCTCCCAGGAACCATGTTTCCTACTTCCCCACTCACCCAATGCACAGGGTAGGACCTCACAGGTCCACACTATGGTCCCAGAGGAGGACTAAGGCCAACATACTGGAGTATTTGCTCAAAGTCGTACAAGGGATTCTGAGAAAGGCTTTCGCTTGTGGGAAAGGAGAGTGGCCTCCACCAGATGGGGAGGCTGCTGGTCCCTAGAGACCAGGGCAATGTTAACAGGTGCAAGTTGGGGGAAGGGGCAGAGATCAGGCTCAGGGGTGGAGTCCAACCAGAGTCTGGTGGGTCTGACCCTATCCCTGCACTGAGAAGTGACCATAACAGCTTGATTATCCTCTCTGGTCCTGCCTCAGTTTCCCATCCTAGGCATAAGTCTGTGAGCATGGGTATCTTGGCTCCCTACAGGGACTCGGGGAACCTGAGGCACAGGGCTGGATCGGTGAGTGGCTGGCTGTGGGAAGCCGTCTTGAGGTGGAAGGAAGGCTGGCTCCAGACAACCCAGGACAAGGGTGACTGCAAGGACAGCCCCCGGGAGCTGCTTATTGTGAACTGACAGCCTGAGGGAGGGAGGAAGTAGCGTATGGGTGGGGCCTACAGACCCCAGGCAGTAGGAGGGGAGCCGAGCAGTAGGTGGGTGGGAATAGTTGTCCCTGAAGACTGACTCCTTGTAGCCTACAGCAGCTGACAGAGCAGCTGACCAGGTAGCGGCTGTCAGGACAGCAGAGCTGAAGTCTTACCATGTGCTGTTCACATGAGGTCTTTCACTGCCCTAGTGCAAGAAGCTCCCAGCTGTGGGTCCTGCCTAGCCCCCGATGAAGTCCTAGGAACTTAGGGGACTCCTCTAGGAAGCTTCTGGCCATGACATAAGATACAGGGGCACCAGGACATCTTACCTATGTCCATAACTCTGTTTTGTCATATCTCCTTGGAAAATCCAATGTCCACTCTGCATGTGCTGTGTGGCAGAGCACCTCAGACTGTGGGTCTCAAAACAGCAGAAATTAAAGCCCTACTTCTCTCCACAGAGAGGGCCAAGGCCAGGTGAGGTCAGGTCCCGTGCCCCAGGGTTAAGGGTTCACCCTCTACTCCACCTTCCCTCAGTGTATCTAAGACCTGGCCCACCTTGTGGCGAATCCTTAACTCATCACATCTGAAGTCCTCTTCCCAGATAAGGTCCCAGTCCTGAGAGTTTGCCCTCTACAAATCCAGACCCTAGCCCAACACCAGAGACGAATGAGAACCTACCCTCCCCTTACTGCCTCTGGTCCTTACTTAGGGTTTGACAGTTTTTTTCTGCTTTCCTAGAGCATGGGTATTCCTGTAGATGGGACAGTTGGTGCGCCTGCCTACCTGTTGGCTGCAGGCCTTTCTCTGGGTCCTGGCAAGTCACACACCTGTCCCCCATGGGTGCCCTGCCTCCTTGCTCTGGTCACCAAAGCCAAGAACAGAGCTGTGGGTAGCAGTAGCTGTGGCTGAGCCCAGCGTGGGCACAGAAAGAAGACACCTCCTGTGGGTCCAAGAGCCTGGGAAGCCTGGGGCAGGCGCGGTCCCCAACCCCCAGGTCCCAGCCAGGGCTGGGCTAGGGTTTCCCAAACTGGTGCCACCACCAGGCTGGGGCCTCTCTGGCATGTCCAGCCTGTGGCTGGCTCCCAGGACGCTGCAGAAATGTCCTTTTGTTGGCTGAACAAAGCAGCTTTGAGCTGGGCCCTTATCGCCGGCTGTAGTGAGATGGGACACCATAGATCCCGGCAGGGGCCGGCTGGCCAGCCTGGACAGCATCCCCCAAGCCCGGGGAGACAGGGAAAGTCTGTGGAGGGTTGGAGGAGGGAGAGGTGAGTGCCACATGAACTCAGGAAACAAGGTACATAGAGCAGGCACAGGTGGGCACAGACATGGGCAGGCTCTTGCCCAGGGGTAGACATAGGCAGGTTTCCCTGGCTGGGCCAGGGTGGTAGCCAGCCCTTCCTATGCGTGGTCCCCTGGTCATCCTGTGTCCGTGCCTGGGTCAGCCCCAGACAAAGCTGATGGCTCTGGGCACCATAAGGTTAAACCCTGTACTGCTAGGCCAAGACCCCCTCAAGATGCCACACTGGGCAGAGTACAGTAGCCCCCTGCCTCTGCCTCTGGCCTTGACCAGCCTATAGGGCTCTGGGCAAGCTCCTCCCTCTTGCCTTCCTCTTACTGCATCCTGTGCCAAAGGAATCAGGAGCCATCTGATGAATGAGTGCATAAATAAATGACCTAGTGAGGGCTGCAGAAGACTACTTACCTCACATGCACAAAGCCCCAAGGGTGTTGATGCACACCTGTGATCTTAGCCCTTAAGAGGCGGAGACAGTAGGACCAGTTCAAGATTATCCTTGGCTATGCCACAGTTCAGTCTAGCTTGGACAACATGAGACCCCGTCTCAAAAATTTAAAAAACATAGAGGGACTTTGAGATGCTGTTTCAGGTAGGGACCCTCTCCGCCAAGCCTGATGACCTGAGTCTGAGGTTTAGAATCTATATGACAGAAGGAGAGAACTGATTACTGAAAGTTGTCTTCTGATCCAAACACATGCAATAAATAACTGTTAAAGAAATGGCATCCGATAAAAGAAAAAAGAGTAAATGAAGAACGAGTAAGGGGCTGAAAAAGAGTTCCAAGCCTCAGCCATCCTACCCTAATGGCTCGGGGAGGAAACTGGTATTTCCCAGACCCCAGATTAAATAGGGGGACCCTCCCAGGTGCTCACCCTGATAAAGTGCTTGGCAGACTCATGCTGTCTGCCCTGAGAGGCTCCCACTCTGCTGGAGGCTGGGTGGGTTTCATGGAGATGGCTCCATGATTGGGCAAAGCATAGCTGTCAAGATCCTTTGCAGGATCCATCAATGTCTCCGTCTCTCAAATGCACCATGCTATTTATACAATGACAGGCCCCGAGCCCAGGCACGCACTCTGCTAACTGAGTTACATTGCTAGTCCCTACCAGCATGAGGTGTGACTTCATCAGGACTGACTGGGATCCTTTGGCTCATTTGAGAACCTGGCTCCTCAAGACCAACCCTGGATGGATGGCTGGACTTCAGGACTGTGTCTCCTAGAAAGCCCGTTCTGTTCTGCACACTGGCAAGCAAGCTGCATCTGGGTACGAGTTCTGAGTCCACAGCGTAGTGTGAGCTTCTGTACAGTTGGAAACGGCCTCGCAGGAGCTTTGAGAGCCCACATGGCTCACTCAGCCTGGAACAGACAGGCTGGAAATCCTGAGTGAAGTAGAACCTTCCTGGAATTCACACTGAAAAGTACAGGCTCCAAAGATCTCAGTAACCAGAGGGGCACAGTGTCATTCTGTCCCTGATGACTGGTCATGAGAAGAAACCAATGAGCCATGGATGGATGATGCCTGGGTGGAGCAGAGAACAGGAAGAAGGAAGAGTAAAGCCACCACGCTCACTGATGAGGACAGCATGGCACTCATCCACACATGTGCGTGCGCGCGCGCGCACACACACACACACACACACACACACACACACACACACGGAAAAAACAAAGACATTTTCTTTCTTAGTGTGCGTTGGGGTGAAGGTATCAGATCCCCTGGAACTAGAGTTGCAGACAGTTGTGAGCTGCCATGTTGGTGCTGAGAATTGAACCCGGGTCCTCTGGAAGAATAGTCAGTGCTCTTAACCACTAAGCCATCTCCCCAGCCCCCAAAGAAATTTCCTTGTCAACTTGTCCTAGGTCTGACAAAAAATGTACAAAAAATCGAATACAGAAAAGGGTTTTTTTCTTATGAACCTAACCATCCAGAGAAACTCTTACACGTGTCAACAGCTACATGTTTAATATAGGAGCAACTACACAGAATAACTGTTCCACATGGCAACAACCACTAAGTAAGTAAATCAGAACAAGATGGTTCAGTAGTAAAGGTTCTTGCTGCCAAGCGTGAAGACCTGAGCCCCATCCCTGGAACTCATATGGTGGAATGAGAAAACCAACTCCTGCAAATCGTTCCTTGACCTCCACACACACACACACACACACACACACACACACACACACACACACACACACACACACAGACACTGTGTATAGATTTTGAAAAAGTCAAAGTCTGACCGGGTGCTGGTGGCGCACGCCTTTAATCCCAGTACTCAGGAAGCAGAGGCAGGCAGATCTCTGTGAGATCCAGCCTGGTTTAAGAGGGAGTTCCAGGACAGCCAGGGTTATACAGAGAAACCTTGTCTCAGAAAACAAAAACCAAAAACCAAAAAAAATGTCCGCTATTTAGCAAAATGGAGAAAGTATTTGGTGACTACATCACAAAAGACTGCTTTTTCTCAAATATAAAGAGCTACAGCAAACCAACAACCGGTTTCAGGTTGTGTGGAAAGACAGATGAGTCACAGGAGAGAAGCTGGTTCATAAAGCTTTGAGAAAAATGCAAATTAGCTACAGTAACATATCGGATGGGCAGGGTCTGTTTCCAAGACCATATCAGTGGGAGGAGCCAAGGCTCACACACTGTTGCCATGGTTGTGACCTCTGCAAACAGTGACTTGGGGAATTTCCCAGCATTACCCATGCACACTCTTTGACCGCATCCTAGAACAGCATCCTGACACCGGGTACATTAGGGGAAAGCTCAGCACCTTGCATAGGCTGTGCAGGCCACTCTGAAACAGCCCACAGGCAGATGCAACAGTCAAAGGAAGTGCTTTCTTTGTTTGACATCATCACTGGGAATACAGGGTGACAGTCAGAGCCAGTCCCAGGACAGAGTGCACTGCCTGCAGAACGTGGTGCAGGGAGGGCCCACAGGACTCTGCCACCTTGGCTGTTCTTAGGAGAGAAGTTTCTCTGAACACTTGTTCTGGAGCAAGTGAGCTTGTTCCTCTTTCAAATCCGTGAGGAGCAGGGAAGGAGGTAGCTGCATCCCTTTTGCCTTCAGTCTAGGTCAGAGCTCTGGGTACCAAGTCGGAGGTGGGAAAGATGAAGTTGTTATTCCTTCATCCAGCACCGCTGTGCTGGGCGGGCAGAGGCCAGTGCTGACCAAAGGAGCCTTGTCTTCTCAAACTCGGGCTTCGCAGATGTAAGGACAAGTCACGGGTGAGTGATGACAAACATTTTGTGGCCTGCTGTGCTGGACCAGATGCAGAGACAGGAATGAAAAGCCAAGTCTGATAGCTTCTGGACCCGTCCCTTTTATTTCCTGGTCTGAGCTTCCAGTTCTCACTTCCACCCCTATGGGGAAGGCTGAAATGGAGTCTGCACAGCCAGGCTGTCAAGATCGTCATGTGACCCGAGTGCCTGCATACCTAGAGTCTCACTGAATGGAGCACAAGTGTCCCATGATTGTTGCCAGGGCCAATGGGACTGCCTGGAGCCCGACTCCAGGGCCACCCTAGCACTGGACAGCCCAGCAGTGCCTTCCCAGCTTCTGAGTTTCCTCATCACTCATGCCTGCCAGGAGAGAAGATGGAGAAGTTCCCATACCAAGTAGGAGTAACTGAGGCCTGCTGAGCACAGAGGTCCAGGTTCTACCCTGTGTATCTCTTAGCAGCCCTCTGCTCTCCCTGTTGCCTTAGTGACTGCAGCTGTGAAATGAATGGAACACCCCCTCCTGAGAAGGCAACTAGTGTCAGCCCAGGGGAGTGGGGGAGATGGGGAGGGAGGAAGGAGAACATTCTCACTGGGCATGAGCAGGTACTGCTCTTGTGTATCTGGCCGCGGTCCTGTGGGCTGTGTGGTCTGCATTACCATCTTCCTCTAGTGGTCAGTTCAAAGCTCTACAGCCCATGATGGGAGGGCTGAAGTTCTGGAGGCTGCTCTTTCCCCCATTTGGTTCCACAGGATGGTAGGGAGGCACCAGGTACCAAGACCTCAGAACCTAGTTACATGCAGGCAAAAAGGCCCAGTGACTCCCAAGGGTACAACCTTGCTTTACCCAAGGACTCTGGCTCTTTGCTAACTGGGATCTTGTAAGGCTAGTTACACACTGAAGCCCCTCACCCCGCTGTACCCCAAGGTTGGCTCTGTTGATCCTCACTTCAGTTTGAATGCGGGATTATAGCTTCTGATTTTCTGTGTGGCACTGGGTATGGGGTTGCATTGTTATGCTCCTGAACCAGAGGAGCCAGAGGCCCTGAGATATCAGACAGAGAAGCCCAGAGCCAATTCCCAGGGAGGACAGCCAGACTGTTAGACATTGGCCCCAGGTTTGCAGCAATGGGCATGGGGCAACAAAAAGAATGGGCTGGATAGGTGGCACTCATGATCCTGGAATCTGCATAGGGTGATCATAGGATAGGGGACCGGCAGGCCACAGGAGCATGCTGAGGATGAGGAAGGGGAGAGACTTGGGAAGAAGACAGGAGACCATGGGGGCAGTAAGGAGTTCAGGCATGATGTGCCTTCCCTCTCCATGACTTTACTCTGTCCGGGGAACAGGTGTTCTGTAGAAGACATAGAGGCTAGGGTAAAGAGTGCCAGGCTTACTCCTTCCCCAGTCCGGTGTCCAAAGTCTCACAGATGACCAACAGTAGCCAGCCTAGACCAGTGCTTGACTGGATGCTCTCCTCCTCTCTGTGTAGGGCAATGCTGGCCTGATTGGCTCCCCTGGGAGCTGGACAGAGGGGTTATTCTTTCCTGTCTCAAGAGAATGTGACCACTCTACACCCATGGCAGAGAAGAGTTCAGATTCTATTCCCTGCCTAGCCATATGTTCCTAGTGTGATGCTCAACAAGTTGGCCCCTACCCTCGGACTGTTTCCCCATCTATAAGACAGGTTTGGTGGCTGTCCAGGTGTCAAGGCTGAGGTGTGAACTCTGAGCCTGGCTATAGGGAGCACTCTGGGGTGAGCCTATGACCAAGGGCAGGTCACAGGTGAGATCCTCGGGGCTGGGACAGCAGGCTCTGCTGTCTGTGAGTGAGGAAAACTGAGGCATGAAATTGTAGGGACTTTCCAAGGACAGAGCCTGAGAACGAGGGATAAGCAGGATGAGCTTGGGGGCCTCAGAAGCCAATTGTGGTGTTGAAAAAGGACAGAGGGTGAGGGACAGCAAGGGCTGGAAGAGAGCTGCACCTACCACCAGGCACCCGTGGTAGTCATCAGAGGTCTGAGCAGCCTTGGAGGTGGAAGCTGATGGCCAGTGTGAGGATGCCTGCCACCACAGACCACGGAGACGTGCAGAGTAGCGCTGGTTGCAAGAACCTAGGCTGACATGACTGGCAGAAGTGACTGTGGCTAGGGATCCAACATGGCCACACACCTTCCTGGTCTGGTCTGCACTTACTCAAAGCTCTCAAGGGCTGCTCTAGGCCTTTCTCCCCCTGCCCCCCCCCCCAAGGCTGGGAACTCAGCAGAGGCAGTAACCTAGAGAGAAAGAAAACGTCTACTCTCCAAAGTCAGCAGGGTACATGGTGCAGGGACTCCCTCTCTAGAATTGGCCTGGGCTCCAGAGAGCCACAGACCATGGGCACTGATGGCTTTCCATGTACGATGTTTAAGGATCCTAGAGAATGGGTGATGATGGGGACACCTCTGTGTTAGTACTGTCCAGCTCATCTTGGGCTCAGGCCTTCTAGGCCTCCCCTCTTCCTTCCCTGGCTGCCTCTGGCTTTTAGCTCCCTGGACCCACAGGGAGACAATGAGGCGAAAGGAAGGTTGGCGCTGGAGTAAGGGGCCACAGGGACAGGATGAGGCCAAAACCGTGTTACCAAGGCCAGACTTGGCCTGGATCTACCAGAGCCTTAGGAAAACAGTGACCCATTCAGGGCCTATATCATAGGCCTGGTCCTGCTGTCCCTGCCTCTGAAGATACCCTGGGAAACACAGGCCTGCGATATCCAGAACAGGACCCATCCCCTCCCTACACCACAGACTCATGATTCAGAAGGAGAAACTGAGTCAGGACTCCTCATCTGCACAGGTGCTTGGCAGGTGGATACACACACAGGAGCTGTTGACCTGCTGGCTCCCTAAGGCTTCCTTCCTGACTCATGACCTAGGACCTGGGGTGGACCTCAACCTCAGAACCCGCCATGGTGAGTACAATTCCTGGAGCACAGAAGCTGCCTCTGCCCCACACTAAACACCCGTCATGGTCCCCAGGCCAGCTACTCATCGAATACAGCATTTGTGCCACCCAAGAGGCCACATTCTCTTATCTCCTGCCCAGTAGTTATCTGTCCCAGGAGATTTTGTGATGTTCATACAGTACATGATCCCGGCACTGGCTTCTCTTACTGAGTCTAGCCTGGCACTCCAGACCAATTTGTTGGACTCTGCACCAGAACTTGGTTCCCTTCCCCTCTGCATTTCTCTCTCTCTCTCTCTCTCTCTCTCTCTCTCTCTCTCTCTCTCTCTCTCTCTCTCTCTCTCTCTCTCTCTCTCTGTGTGCGTGTGCGTGCGTGTGTGCGTGTGTGCGTGCGTGTGTGTGTGTGTGTGTGTGTGTGTGTGTGTGTGTGTGTGTGTGTGTGTGAGACCTGCAATGGTTCCTTCTGAACAGCTGGGAGAGGAAGCAAGCGCCACTCCAAGTCTCTAGTGAGAAGACCTGGGACAGGAGGGAACAGAGACTTTACCGAAGGCACTGAGAGCTTCCCATGCGGAGGATGTTGGAGAGGCTCCTCTGACCCTCCAGGTAGGGGCTGGGCATCCAGCAGGATGTGTGGTGTGATCCCGAGCAGGGGTATGGAGGCTTTCTCTCAGGAAAGAACTGTAGGAGTCATCCCCACAGCACCCCCTGTGCAGCTCAGCAGCCAGGGAAGCTGACACAGCAAGGAGAGGAGATAACTACCCCACTTAACCTAGTTCCTGGAGAGCGGAGGTGGTTAGTGGTGAAAATGACACATCACCCCTGCTGGTGGCTGGACACCACCGGGCTACAGCATGTTTTCCCTTTGCTTTGGACCATCCCTGAAGCTGGAATGCACTGAAGCCTGCCTGGTATGGCTGCTCCCCAAATGACCCCGAAGCTCCCCTGCCTATCCCCTTCCAAACCGGAAGCTCAGGGCTGACCTACAGGCTACTGGGACTCTCGAGAAGTGTCCATTCCCAGTTCTTCAGGTTAGGCAGAGGCTCTTCAGGTTAGGCAGAGACCAGAATGGCAAATCTAGGGGGTCCTGGGCTCCCACAGGACACCTTAGGTTCTACACCTTGTGTACCTCATAGGGCCTGAGGGAGGCTCAGTTTGTTTCCCCAGGATGTCTTTGTGGATGTCAAAGTTACAAAAACCCCAGAGCATCCTCAGAACCCCTGAGGTTCTCAACCTTCCTAACGGACCCTTTAACATAGTTCCTCATGTTCTGGTGAGCCCCAACCATAAAATTATTTTTGCTGCTACTTCATAACTGTGATTTTGCTACTGTTATCATGATGCAAATATCTGTGTATTCTGATGGTCTTGGGCTACCTCTTTGAAAGGGCCATTCAACCCCCCCAAATGGGTTGTGACCTACTGGTTAAGAATCACTGTTCTGATTCTACTACAGCAGCTACTACTCCAAAGAAGCTGCTGGTTTGTCTCTGTTTTAGTCTCTAGGAGACTCAGCTTCACCACTCCTTTATTTTTTTCCTCAAGACAGGGTCTCACTATGTAGCTCTGGCTGTCCTGGGACTGACAATGTATACCTGCTGGCCTCAAACCCACAGAGTTCCTCCTGCCTCTGCTTCCTGTGTGACACTATGCCTGGCTTCATTTTCCCCATTCTCAAAACAAGCCTCGTAGGGTGATGATAATGTATCAGGAAAAGTAAGTGGCTAATTTCCTCAGTCCAGGGCCCCAGGACCACAGCGAAAATACTCTGGCCGTGACAGCACCAACCCAACTCAGGCCCATACTGTAGGGCCAGAGCAGGCGCTGAACCTACCTCTGGGACTGGCTGTTGGAGAGGAAGGACCCATCCTCTGCCCACCTTGGCTAGCAGAAAAGAAGTGGAGATGGGTGAGCTATCTTGGAGTTGCTCAAGACAGCTATCCAGCCCCTGCCTGGCCCTGCTGCATCTGACCAAGGCAGTGAGTGTAGTCCCCAGACTGTGCCAGTAGTCCCTTCAGCCAGCTGGTCTTGTCCCTCCCCTCCCCATTCCTAGTCTAATTTCCACGGTAGTGGGGTTACCATCACAATCACGGCAGCCCCCGACCCACCTTTGGAATCTCTACCTGCGTCTACTCTCAGGGACTGACTGTTAGGCTTGTGCCTAGACTTTTGGATGCTACACTTCTCAGCTAATGTGCAGGAACGGTAGAGACAGACAATGAGGGCTGGAGGACTGGGAGATATGGTGGGAGCATTTCAGGATGCTCCCCCCTCCCCTCCCTGAAGCACATCTGGCTTTGTTTCCCCAGGAGCTGGGGCAAGTCCTAGGGATGTCTCTTCCCAAGGGATGGGGATTGGCTGATCCAGGTGGTACGACCCTGCCCTCTGCCCTGCCGCCCACTCACCCCAGCCCACTCAGTGACCCAGAGACAGACCCGGAATCCAGCCAGAGCAGAACGCTGCAGCTTCCCACCAGAATAGCTGGTGGGTGGTGGCCTCCCTCCTGCGCGTTCAGGCACAAGCTGGAATGCAGACTCCACTGCTCTTCTTGGCTGGAGCGGCACACAGAGCTCAACTTTCCGCCTGCCTCTTCCCATCCAAGTTCATCACTGTGAGCATTTCCCACGCCGTCGGACTTTCCGTGGTTCGGCAGGCGTCACTGGTTACTGTCAGCAGCCCACTGCTTAGTTAGGTGGCGCCGCCCCGCTCCGCACATTTGGTCCCCTTCCAGGTCTGGGGTTATAAATAACACTTCCAGGGGTCCCCACAGCAGCCAGTTTTCTGGCTCCCACGATGCTTCCTCAGGAGGAACTCCCAGAAGTGGAACCCACAGGTCATGGTGCTTGGGCCTCTAATGCCTGTCGCTACCCACGGTCACTGGAGTGAATCTGGGAACCAGCTGGGTGAAAAGAGAAAGCTGCCTGGCCCTTGCTGTGGCGGGGACCTCAGCGGCTCAGGATTGACAGTCTGCTCAGGCCTTAATACTGCGCAGCTTGCACAAGCCCAAGGAGTTCTCACGCTATCAGACCTACATGACAAGCTCATATTTTTGGTGGACGATTTGGGTCTTCAGGATCTGCTTAAAATATCCCAGGGCTTTTTGTTTGTTGAGTGGTGCTGCTGGAGACATAACTCAGGGCCTTGGTCATACTAAGGAAGCACTCTGCCACTGGGTCCCAGCCCTGGCACTCCTGGAACTTTTTCGTCCACAGCAAGCTCCAGTCAGAGACGGGCAGGCATCTGCCACCAACCTCAGAGTAACCTTGACTGCCTTCCCCTACGGGGCCTCAGTTACCCCCACACAGCTCTAGTGGGGTGGGGACAGGGGCAGGCTTGACCAGAGCCCCAGCATATGCTGAAGGAATCGAGGTGGGGTTATGATGAGTGGAGAGTGAACTTTGAGTCTGGGCCCCAGAGCCTCAGGGAGCTGACCAGGGGCTCTGGCTTTGTCTGTGATATTGAGCCAGCCCTGCTCTGCAGTCCAGAGCATGGGCTCCTGAGACTTCCACATGGACAGAGCTGTTGTGCTGTCTTGACAGCTGGCACAGCCAGGTAGCGGACACAGCACAAGGAAGTCACTGTTTCCTGCCGACTTCACAAGCACTGGGATGCCTCTGGCCTGCTCCTTCCTTTCTCCCAGGACCTCCAGCCTGGGTTTTCCTGTTTACCGTGTCTCAGAGGCCGGCCTGGATCTGGATGGTCAGGGCTGGTTGTCACAGTCCATTGTCATCTGACTCCCAGGTCACAGCCCTACCAGGCAGTAGGCTGGCAGAGGTGGGCTCATCTCACATCTGACTCTATCCTGGACCCTGGCTTAGTGGCCCAGTCCTTTTCAGCAACCCAGCCCAGCTTGGCTGCCTTCCTATAGGAAGCTGTCCCCAGGCTTGAGGGAGCAAAGGAACAGTCTGCTGTGGGCACTTCCCATCCAGGCTGACCTTCCTAGCCACCTATGCAGGCCTCTGAGACGTGTGACTCCTGGGCTGGTACTCAGAGCCAATACCTTGAGCAGGGCCCAGCCAGGAGACTGTGAGTTCCCCACACTGACACTCAGACTGTCAGCTTGGTTGGAGATGCTAGGGAAGTAGGGGATAGGAGGGGTAAGGGGCTGTCTACTACCTATTCGAGACCACTCAATAGCAAACTGCAGGTTAGCGTGGGCGGGGGGTGGGGCACACGGAGGTCAGGGCTCAGAGTCTATCAGGAAAAGGGTTCAGTGAACTAGGAAGGACAAACTGTGAAGTGCCTGCCTTACTCTGTTAATTACCACACGTCCAGCTCGAATTTGGGCAATGTTTCCCAAGCAGGCGCGGTCAGATAACATGGCTGAAATAATCTAAACTTTTATCTTTTATTTTATTTTTACTTTCTAGACAAAGTCTTATATATCTCAGGCTGATTTTGAGCTGACTATATAGCTAAGGATGACCTTGATTTTGGATCCTCTTGCCCCCACCTCCCAGGAGCTGGTGTGCTACCACCATCGTGTTTTTGTTTTGTTTTGTTTTGGTTTTTTCCGAGACAGGGTTTCTTTGTTTTGTTTTGGAGGCTGTCCTGGAACTCACTCTGTAGACCAGGCTGACCTTGAACTCACAGAGATCCACCTGCCTCTGCCTCCTGAGTGCTGGGATTAAAGGCATGCGCCACCAACGCCCGGCCTCCCCATCAACATCTTTGCCCGGCTTGGTTTTATTTTTCAAGACAGGCTTTCTCTGTGTAGCCCTGACTGTCTGAGAACTCAGTCTGTATACCAGGCTGGACTTGAATTTACAGAGACCTGTCCGCCTCTGCCTCAGAGAGCTGGGACTAAATGTGCTCCACCTGGCAAACACACACGGTGGTTTATGTCCTCGGCCTGCCCATGGGAGAGTGCAGGAGAAAGGAAGCCTGGGCCCAGTTGACGTGGACACACAGCACGTGTCCACAAAGTCTGGCTCCCAGAAGAACAGGCCTGGGGTCCAGGCTTCTCCTGTCAGTGACATGGGGGGACAGTCTTCAACACTGCCTTTTCCACTCAGGGTTGCCCTTCTTGACTGAGCCTTTCCTGGGGAAAGTCAAAGGATACAAGGCACTCCTGAAAACGGTGACCTCCTTCCTGAGACGGACAAGGTTAGGGAGCCAAAGACTCCCCCAGGACTGGCTTGCTGTGTACCCTAGGCAAGTGTGACGGCAGTCACAGGAGCAGGGCATCCTGGAACTCACTGTCTTCAGGATGACACTGCAGACCCTGAACCTTCCACCCAGCATGGTGGAACACCAGGACGTACTCAGTCACTACTGGTTCACATCTGGATAGGGTCCCGTTGCCCGTCTCCCAGCCTCAATCCAAGCAATCCAGCTGGATCTCACCCCCTTCCTTGACTGTCACAGTACCTGGGACCTTCCCTCTGCTCTGAGCTCTGGACTGGTACTGAATAAAAGTTCAGTCTGCACTAAGCAGGGACAGGTGGCAGAGAGTCACCTCAGGGCAAGCTCTCCCCCACGCCACAGAGGAAGCTTTCTTCTTCTAAGAGCAAACAAAACCTGCAGTCTGGCTGTGGGGCCCCCAGCACCTCTGACCCCATGGTGAGGCCCTGAGTCCTCCCAGGCCCACGGGTGTACGGAAACACCTGTTGGCCCTAGGACTCTGGCAACAGGCACAGCTCAGCATGTGGGAGAGCCCTGGGTGGCCGTTTCCCTAAGGAGCCACCAACCACAGCCACGACTACAGCTGGGCGGATTGAGGAAGTGGGCAAGGGGCGGGTGGGTAAATGTCCTCAACTGGAGAGGGGGTGTCACTCAGCCAGGTGGGAAGGGGGCCCATGGTCCTGAGACAGCCGCTGTGGACTGGCCTCAGTAGCCTGGCAAGGAAGCGGGTGGACACAGAACTATTTTGACAGACTTTGGGCCAAGGCCCTTCCCGCATACCCTGACTGAGCACTGGCTCTGGTAAACAGGTTCTGCGCTCATCCTGTCCTCATGCTGGCCAGCCTAGCCCATCCCTGGACATAGTCTGAACAGAGAGAGAGGCGGAGAAGGGGAACGTTACAGGTCCCCCCATCTCAGCTGTCCACTGAAAATACTGACCACAGATGTATCAGGACAGTACACTGAGGCTTCAGTTATTTTACTTACCCCATGGTGCCAAAAGCAGGACTGCCATCGGCTAGCTAGACCCCATTCTGAGGGCCCGTAGCCCGGGACTGGCTTCTAACCCTGAGAGAGCCAGCTCCTAAACTCCTGAGTAGGTACAGGGCTCGTGGAGGCTTCTGGGGGGAACTCAGACTGAATCGTTCTGTCTCTGCTTCCCCAGTGCTGGGTTTACGAGTGTGCACAACCGTGTGTGTGTATGTGTGTGTGTGTGTGTGTGTGTGTGTGTGGTTTTATATGGTGCTGGGGCAAACCCTAGGACTTCACACATATAAGTAAACACACTACTGAGTTACATCTCTACCTCAGAGTTAACTATTTCTGCAGAGAAAAATCAGTTTTTCACTCTAAAGCAAATGTAAATTCAAGTTTGGGTTTTTGTTTGTTTGTTTTTTTCAAGACAGGGTTTCTCAGTATAACAGCACTGGCTGTCCTGGAACTCACTCTGTAGACCAGGCTGGCCTAGAACTCACAGAGATCTGCCTGCTTCTGCCTACCCAGTGCTGGTATTAAAGGAATGAACCATCACTTCCTGGTGTAAATTCAGTTTTTTAAAAACATTATTTATAGCCAGGCGGTGGTGGTGCACGCCTTTAATCCCAATACTCGGGAGGCAGAGGCAGGTGGATCTCTGTGAGTTCGAGGCTGGGCTGGACCGACAGCCTCGAAAACAATACAGAGAAACCGTCTCGTAAAAACCAAAAAAAAATTTATTCCTTTTTAGTTTTGTCCATATGAGTGTTTGTCTGTGTGCGCGTGCTTACCACATGAATATAGCACCTATGGAGGTCAGTAGAGGATGCCATTTCCCATGGCTCACTGATGTGAGCCTCCACAGGGGTGTTGGGCCCTGAACCTGGGTCCTCGGCAAGAGCAGGAAGTATTCTCAACTTCTGAACCATCTCTCCAGTCATTAAACCCAGTTTTTAAAATATGAGTGCATAGTCAATGGAAGTCAGTGAATAGGGAGTCAGCTGGGCTTCAAAGAGATGATCTATAGGCCCAAGAGCCTAGCCCTGTCCATACTGTTCTGTGGACATGCTCCTTTGGGAATCTCTCTCTGTTCCTGGGACATCTAGCTACCCCAGAAGGTCAAATAGAGACCTATATGTACACACACACACACACACACACACACACACACACACACACACACATACACACACACACACCACACACACACACCACACATACACACGTAACCAGTAAAAACAACCCCCCCCCACTAAACTGGTTTTCTCACAGAGAAGAGATGGAGATGGAGGCCCATAGGGTCTGGGCCCTACCTTCTCTGCTTTAAAGCCCCCTCAGGATGTTTGTGACCCAAACCAGTCCTTCTGGCTGTCTTATTTCCTTGGGAAAAGTTGGTTAGACCAGCGCATCAACTAAAGACATAATCTATCACTTAATTCCTTCTGTGTTTTCAGAAAGTCATGGTGCCCAGACCTCAAGTGCTCTTGCCTTTATAAGCCCAGATCTTAGAGCATGCTGCCCTACTGAGTGATCTGCA